AATGAAAGAAACAAACAGGAGAGAGATGCACGGTGGGGTGCGATGGAGGAAATGGAACGACAGATTGATGTTATGCTTGTCAACAGATTCAGGGAAAGAAGAGACAACTGATTTATGAGTGGAATTATAGAGTGACAGTTCTGTTTCTGATATTCACATTTGCATAGATAAGGAAATGAAAGGGAGGAGAAGATGAAGAAGCGGTGGTCTTGTAGCTCCCTCCAGGCTACCAATGCAGCCAGAGTGTTTCCATACCTCTGGAACCACATGTCTGCTGAATAGCATATGATGTTTGGGAGGAAGGGAAAAAAGGGAGGTAAAGTGGGGGAGAGGGAAAAGGAAGAAGTGAAACTACGTGCTGAGGTGGATATAAGGAAGGGCAGAATTTGGACATTGTTCCCTTCTGTCTTTTTTTGGAGACGGTTGGTGGAAGACGGAAAGAAGAAAGACGAAGAGGAAGAGGATGTGAGGGAAAGGTGGAGATAAGGTAATAATAGATGAGAAATCAGGAAAAGAACACAGGAAAGAAACGGAGAGGTTTGTAAAGATGGAAAGTTAAAGAAGAGAATGAAGGAGGACGAAGGGGAAAATGGTCAGTCATGATGGAGTGATTCAGTCCAGATAAATGGAGATATGTGAAAAGAGACTGATGATAGATCAGAAGACAGATGCTGAAACAAAAGGTTGATTGCAGCTCTTTTGTCGATGCTATCAGATATAAATCTCCTCATTCACTCCTTCACTTCTCTCCTGAAATATCAGATTCACCTCATGTTTTCCCTGCAGTTTACGACAAAAGCCATATTTCCGCCTCTTTACTTCATAGGAGCATTATGATTGTCATGTAGTAGATTGTCATGATCCCCGTAACATACTGTGGGAATGAAGGCTTTTCCTCCAGTGCAGCTTGGTATCTGCGTCACATCTCACAAAGGTAAACTGATCGCAGTGCTTGCCCGTCAAAAGGCCAGCGGATGCATTGAATGTGACGAGAGTTGGCTGAAGAAAAAAGTAGATTAAAATACAAAATGTCAAGGTGCTGCATTAATACTCTTCCCTCTCCCCCTTTCCTCTCTGCTAGCTTGATCCCGAACCGTGCAGTCCATCCCTCCCTGTCCTGTTGACAGGGCAGCCGCTACCCTCGTGCTATGACATCCATCATTCCTCATCACCTCGTCTCTCCTTCCATCCACTATCCCTCGCTTCACATCTCAGACACAGCTTATTTATTTATAAGTATATATATGTATGAATCTCTTTTCTCCCTGTCTTCTTCTAAGTTAACACATTTTTTGCAAGATGGTTCACATGCACAGTGTTGTATCTTTTTAGAGCCACCTGAATGTGTGAAGTAATAAACCGAGCCAATACCTTCAATAAATGCTTTTTCAACGTAAAGGAGTCATGAACAATATAAGTGACTTCTTAGTTAAGATATCCTAATATGATTTCATACCATGTGCAAATCTTTCTCAAGTACTGAGCTTTTTCATACTCACACTGCCAATTAAAAACAGCTCATTTCCTCCTCAGCATTGAATGAAGCTAAGTTAATATGCATACGATCATGTTTTATTAAAATTAAATTTCTAGTGCAAATCCTAAAATATATATTAATTTCATTTTAACTATTAACTGAACCGATATTTAACTTTTTGTTGTGAAAATGTCGATAGAACTGTTTCACATAAAAAGAGCCCATATGAGGACGATTGCTTTTCCTGTCTGTCATTTCTCACTGCCTCACTCAGCTGCTGACCTTGTCACAGCCCTTTCCTAATAATTTATTCATCTGTCCCTCAAACATGGTATTCCTCCCTCCATGCTTTTCTGTGTCGACTGTGTTTGGCTCATTCATAATGCATGGCGATTTTTTGGTGGGTTGGGGTAGAGCAGGGTTCTCTCTGTGTTGACCTGTTTCAGATCTCAGCGGCCCAGCTAAATTGCAGAGGAACGATAGGGGTCAGACGGGAATAGGAAGAGAATGTTGCTGGAAATATCTTTCTATTTTATATTTTCAGGACAAGTGGTAAGTTAGGGGTGAAAAACATCGAGTGAAGCAGGGGGAGTGGAGCTGCAGTCAGAGTCACTTCTACAGTTTCAGAGTTAGAAAGATTAGCAAAATGAACCATTAACATTTAAGTTGTTAATAAATCTGAATAAAATTGGGTCTAAAGGGACTTTTCTTATATTTCCATAGCAGAACTAATCATTGGTGTGTTACTGTGAGGTCTGGGTTTTATTGCTGACACATTCTGTGCATGTATTTTGTCCCAAAGAACAGAGCGCCTGTTAGATGGGAAGCAATGGGTTAAGCTATTTGCCATTTGAATGCAAGAAGATACAGATTATCTGAATATTTGCTAAGTTTGGAGGTTTCTTTCTTTCTCCCCTCGAGTAACGCAGCCAATTAAGTATTTATTTATCTTTAATTATGCTGATTTATATTAACGTTCACGTGATAGCTGCTTGTTGTTTGCTCTCTGAGATTGTTCAAGCTAATTAAATGAGAATTTGCCATCTTGTAGCTGAATGATTCAAGATTTATTTTATGTTGAGAGTTGATTTAGTCTCATTTTACGATTTTTGTATTTCATTTTCTCCTGATTGGCATTTTGAAGGCATGTTCATGAAAGTTAATACCTGTAACCAAATGCTTTGTGTCCGTGTTTCAACTAGATGGGAGATACAGGGAGCAGAGGAGAAAAGTATCAGCTGGCAGTCCTTGAAGAGAAAATGTCACAAGCTATTCCATGGTTACTCCTCCTCGAGAGAAGCGCCCTATAATGCACGTGGTGATTTTCACAGTGAGACGTAATGCACCCTGTACGTGAGAATGCCACATAATGAGGATGTTAGAATTGTAAGCCTGACATGTTTGCTGCTGATTTGAATGCAGCTCAGACAAGCTGAACTGTCAGCTAAATGCCTCATCCCAATGTGGTGATATAGCCAGGTAAATGTTAAGAAGAAAAAAAAAAAAGCTTCCGGTGTGATTACTGAGCAATATAAACTGTTTAACTGGAAACAGCTGCCCACGGGAGATGAATTAATGGGCTCAAATTCAGGTGAAATAAATCCACCTGCACAATACGACCATTCGTTTCTTGCACCTCACTCAGAACCAAGAGACAGATGATTTGTTTGATTGGAAAGCCACTGGTGCACGTCGAATTCAATCACACGCAGCGCCTCAAAAATCACTGCGGTAGTCACCAGGCAGCAGAGGCAGTATTTTATTCACAGCATTCATGACAAGCAGCGAGGACACACTGAGAAAGCAGAGGGTCTCCAGGAATTTATAGTTTTGAAATAAATCGCAGTAACTTTGACATGCAGATAATAATAATCATAATACTGATCAGCTACCCCTGTCTCCTCCCCTGTGCTGCTGCGCTGTAGATTCCTGACAGGATACTGGAGGAGGCTGTGCAGATCACACTTTATTCCTTTTTTTTTTTTTTTTTAAGCTACACTGCTCCAGAACTTCACATTTATTCCCTGAAGCGGTTTCCTCCCACGTTTGGCAGAGTCTCGGCTACAAACCAAACAAAACCCAGCCGTGGTCATTGGGCCCCCAAGGCTTTTAAAACCAACCATGCTCTGCAGAGGTCAAACACACAATTACCTTGTGACATTATCTTAAACACATGATTTTATTTGTTTGGATTCTGTTAAATGGCTGTTTTATGCTCATTACACCTCTTGTTTTAATTCTAATCAGCCATTTTTATTGATTCAAACTGGATTTAATTATCATTTAATTATTTGTAAAGCGCTTTGTGACACTGTTAAGGCCAATAAAAAAGCTGAGAGGGAATCAGCAAAAACAAACTCATTAAAGAAAAGGAGAGGATGGGGAGAACAGGAGAGGAAAAATAGAGCAATAAAAGAGGGGTGGATGGGTGTACAGTGTAGGGTGAAGGGTAAAAAGGACCTGACAGCAAAAAGCATCCAGGGATCAGACCTCATCAGCTAGAGAGAGATCTGTAGAGACACGATGAGCAAAGGCATGTATGGCGTGTAGATATACAGGATGTGCCTTTGGATGGACATGCAGAGCACTCATATAGTGACCTCTGTCTCTACTCATGTGTGAGCATTGTCAAAGGAAATCACTGGTCCACTCGCAGAAAAGGCTCATGGACGGACACACACCAAGCATCCATAAGTAAAAGAAAGTGACGACACACAAACACATAAACTAAATACACTCTTCTCGTAGTGCGATAACAATGTACACACATGAACACGGGGAAATCATGTCATCCCACTCACAAGATCTCATATGGCAACCTACGTTTATAATTGCAGCACTGGAAGCTACTATATGGATCAGTGTGACAGACCTATAATTCTGCTGGTTGATCTCTGCAGCTGTGACTGTGCGCGCACACGCACACACACACACACACACACACACACACACACAGACAGACAGACAGACAGACAGACACACACACACACACACACACACACACACACACAGACAGACAGACAGACAGACAGACAGACAGAAGGAGACAGACACACACACTGAGCACATTCTCGTAACTCTAATTTTAGCATAAAGTTCAATTGAGTGATGTTTGTGATATTATGAGAAGACTGCCCATAATGTGAGACAGATGCTTATGCTATAGATGCCACTTGCAACTTTCAGTTCATTGAGCATGTGCAGTGGATGACATTAAACCACCATATAAAACCTATAATCTTTAAGGTTAATGGTTTGATGAATTCATAGACCCGAATGTCAAATTTGTTTGATTGGCGAGGGAGATCGGCCACTGCGAAGCTGTGTTTTTCCCTTTAGCTATGCACATTCATCCTTTGTGTTTGATATAAAGCAGTGACTTTACCTGCCAAGAGGGAGGAGCCAAATGTTGATGATGAACACACCAAAACAAAAAAACTGCTGTTTTAAGGTAACAAGGCTTGTGTTCAAAAACAACTTCAAAACTACTTTGGAGTTTGCATCGTTTCAAAACGGAGCCTACCTCAATCCTGCCGGTGTCTGGCTGGAAGCCTCTGGATGGGTCTTCAGTCGTCACTCTGCACTGGATGGCGCAGCCGTTTACCCTGACCTTGTCTTGCTTGAGGCCCAGCTCCAGCAGGCTGCGGCCCTCACACACACGCAGCTGGGCATGCACCAGGTCCACACTGTTGGACAGCAAGAGAGAGAAGCGATGAGCAGAGAAAATTGATTGAAGCCGTGAACATGATGTGAATAGCTCTTAATTTCCCTTGATGTCACCGTGGAGAAGATTTTATGAAGCTTACACCAATGTTTTATAGAAAATATTAACATCGATATTTTCTTAGTCTGGAACATAGGAGGGGTGGATGATGGGTGTAAGAGGACTACAGAATTTTCCAGCACCTCCTGTTTGGGCAAATCTGCAATATCTATCTACTAAAAACACAGTAAAGTAAGAAATGAATTATAATCTGAAGACTGAAACGAAGGCTCGTGGGGGATTTAGTAGGATATGGAACTAATAAAGTTAGTTAAAAGTGTAGGATTAAGGTTTGCTATGAAGAATCTCAATCAACCAATTCATATAACAAGTACATGTTTTTTTTACCTTATTATATTTAGTTTCACTTAAATCTGTCTTCTTTTACATGTACAGATATACAGAGAGTATATGCATGGTTGCAAAGATGTCCTTGTCCAACATGTTTCGAGTGCAACTTAACAGATGAGAGACTTTCCTTCTTTCTGACTCATTCAGATGAGACTAGCACACCTCTGCCTGTGCGTCTTTTTATTTTGGTATCCTGACAACCATGATGTCCATGTCAAAGTTCATTATAAATAACTGGTACATTGTAGGAAAGTAAACATTTATCAATGTTATTGATATTAATAAGGAAGTTCTCCTTATAAAACTGACAATTTAAAATACTTATATTATATCCCATTCCTTCTGTTGCAGCAGTTGCACGTACAGTATATCTCTCATACATATCTAAAAATGAATTTTATCCAAGGATAAATGTATGCATGCACATACACACATGTATAGAGAGGAAAGAGAGATGGAAGTACATTATGCTAATTTTTATTCAGTAATTATCATTAGAAGGAATTTTAATCTGAGAGGGAGAGAGACAATATTTTCTTTCATATCCGTGATTTAAATATATTTTGGGCTCATCTGTATGCATTTATTTAAATGTAAAGCTCAAATGAGACTTCTCGGGTTAAGCTTCATGACCTTGCACAGTCCAATGCCAAAGCCAAAATATATTACAAGTATTCTGTCTTCATTCTCTTCTGGACACATTTTCAGTGCAGCAGTTGACGAACACAGCGGGTGTTGGGATAAATTATTCTTAAATGACCGTTTCTCGCGGCACACCATCCGGTGCCAAACACACACTCAGATAACTGCTGTAGCCTCTTCGCCTTGAAGAGTGAATGAAATACAGAAGGCGCACACATTACCAGACGAGCCTAGATTTTTTTGGACGCAGTCTTGGCTTTCGTCTTTTTTAATGTCTCAATCAGCCAGTTTCCACGTTCTGGTAAAACAGAAGGACAATTATGCATCAGCCTGGTGTGAAACGCGTTGGTGGCAAAGCAGATCCACTCTTGATAACTTGGACAGGCGCTAACGTCATGTTTTTGTCACAGTTTCATGAACATGTTTGTATTCTATTTTCCCTTTAAATAATTAAAGGACCAGACAAAAAGAGGCTCTTTGAGTGATGCCCCCCCCCAACAGTATTAACACACATGGCAGTTTATGAATAATGAAGCTAAGATATGGTAAAATAATTAGTTCCTGCACTTGTTCTGTCATTAGTTCCCTCATTAACCCGGCCACTTCTCTATTTGCATATTCATGAGAAGTGGTACAAAAGAAAAACAGCAATTTAAAGACAAACATCCAAATTCACAAACCCCAACATATAACGACACATTAGTGTGTTCTATTGGCTGCATATTTACAGGGATGGAAGCAGACAAACACATTTCAGCAGCAAATGAGACAAGTGGAAATTTTCTGAGTCAAGAGCCAAACATTTGGCATCCATGCATAGACTCTTTTTATTACATATAAATCAGGTTTGGCCAAGTTTTTTCTCCCCCCCACACACATATTTCTTCTACTTCGAAAACATAAGGCAACACTGATTGAATGAGGACCCTGGAGGGTTTGTGAAATTTATTGTATACTAATTTGATTCTGACAAATTAAAGAGCCTGCAGCAACATCTGTCCCTTGGTGCAGCCAGTTACAGAATAAAAGTCTCTTGTATCATTAGCAAGTTCCACAATTAGGCCCAACTATACAGAGAGGGGATGTTGCACCTTCAGCGGGGGGAGAGTTGAAAGATGCACTACATTAAATGGACACGCTCGTTTCAGAAAAAGTGTAATGACGATGATTACAGATGCCGTGCAAACCTGGCTGTGTTAGAGAACATGGAGGATTAAACAAAGACAGTGGGGAGGACTGACCTGAAACATGTGAAACTTCACCATCACTGGGCATGAGAGTTTAGTACCACGACAAAACAACGGGGGAATAATGTCGTTGGCTGCACACCATGATCTGATGAAGCCCTGAATTAACAAACAGCTGGCTGTCAATGTCAGCCAAGTTTATACTTCTATGCTCCCATTTACATTAACGTGTCAAACAATAACTGTTTCACTTGGTGAATCAAAGTGGTTATTAAATCATGGAAATCATCCAAAGGATTTCATCTATGTTCATTGCCTCCAAATAACTGACATGTTGTCTTCAGTAAATCATTACAAATATAAACCAAAACTTTTCCGAAAGCTACTCTGAGCTTTATGACTCTGATAAAGTCGTTTGTAACCTGCAAGCACAAGTCAAGAGAAACTGATTATAACCACAACCAACATGTTCCTGACGTAAACAGGATATATTCATTATTTAATGTATGAAATCAACCTGTACAGAGCTGCTGAAATAAATTAATTAGGCTTGAGCCAAAAACCAAATGTTTTAGTTTTACAGCTTCATTCCTCCAGGTTTTTTTTTTGTGTGTTTCAGAAGAACTTAAATCTCTTGAGCTCCGTCAAACGTGTGTAAAAATCCTAAAAACATGCTAAATTTTTGTTTTGTTTATTTTGTTGTTTCTGAAGGGTCGATAAACGTGGACACTGGATATCATCTGATAACAGAAAAAGATGAACTGAGGGAAGCAGTGAGAAGGGATGGATGGACGGATGGACGGATGGACGGAGGGATGCAGATGACAAAAAGTTGATGCAATAAACATTATTATAGGAAACTTTGAAAGTAAAAGAAAATACTTTTTTTATAAGCGCATTGCTGAATAGGTATATTGTGACAAACGTAAAGGAATTAATCATATATAGAACCGGTAGAAGATAGAGACATGAATTAATATATTATTTATGAATGTGTATGATGAGTAAAGACAGTTTTCCAGGGTAAAAATAAACTTCTTCTCCAGTATTTGTTATTATACAGCATATAAAAAATCTGATGGTGTGAAAAATTGTTCCAGTGATGCTATTTTAATGGTATTTTTTATTTTGTTGTAATTCAATAGATCTATAAATGTGTCCTTGACACAAAATGTGACAAATATAATTCCACACCATCAAATGGATTATGACGCAGAATAATATGCATTATTGAAGGAGCGCACTCCTGATGCTTTCCAGAGTTCCCTACTATACATGGAGATTTAATCATTTTCTCTATTTATCGTTCACCTTTCACCTAACCCTGATTTTACATAAAGTTGTTCTCCAAGCTAATTCACGTATCTAAAAGTTGTTGACCTCCCCACTTCTTCAAACTCGCTGCATATTGCACATGTACCGTGTCACTAACCCAACATGCAACAAGCGCACAGCAGACCACACGTAGCACCTATATTATATTTTGCCTAGAGCCCCGTGAACCAAGACGTTCTCCTGAGCATAACATTACCTGGCCCAAGGTTTGCTGTGTGTCAATTAGTTGGTGGGAATTTTATTAAGCAGAAATTTATTTAGGAATATGCAGCATGTAAGCACAATATCAAGTGAAATAACAAGGTCTTTAAAGTAGATTTGGACTCAGAGCCCCTCTGCTGGGCCTCCAGATTACATTAGGTGATAGTGCAGGACTTGCCCTAAGGCCCTTGTTATTAAAGCTGATATTTGTGTTTAGTAGAGAATACAACCCAAAATATATCACATTACAAGCCAATTGGACCAGCGTGGAGAAACAGCCTCTTTTTTTCTGGAATGGAAAAAAGTCATGGAAATCTTTGTTTAGAAAAGTCAAGAAAAACATGTCCATTCTTCGCTTTCAACATTTTCAATGTCTCCCAGTAGGACGTGCTTTTCCTTTGCTGCAAGCTTCTGATGTGTCAAAGGTGTGAAGCTATTCTGTATTTCTGACAATGTTAAAGAACACATAAATCTTTTAAGATGACAGGACCAATATAGCATGTCTATTTCACTGCTTGGCATCTCTGACTGTTTGCCAGTCGTGCTTTTGCCTTGCTTGGAGCTTCTGAATGGCTGCCACGTTTATATTTGATCTCAGGTAATCTTAAGAAAAAACAGAAAACCCCTACGTGTCACAGAAAAAAAAATTACTGCTTCGAAAAATAAAGCGGCTGGGAATCCTGGAAAAATTTGGGTTTACAGTGGAGAGACGCATTTGGAGGAGCCTTCGAAATGAGACAGTCTGGTGGCGCCACTGTGACACAGTCTGAATGTACCCACATACCCCTCTGCACCCCACCCCATATTACAGTTTAAGGCTAGACTCAGATTTCTCTCGTGGCACCTCAAACAAAATGAATGTTAATATGTTATTCTTAAGTTGGCCTCATGTTGTAAAGAAGGGCCCCACATTCAGCAGTAAAGCTCCACTTCAGGACACCACATCAGCTCTCATTGTCTTGGGCATAAGACTTAACTTCAATTGAACGTATAGGTCTCCCTCTAAGTAGCTTCAAAGATGAAGAGAACACTTTCATCTGAAGGTCATGCTGCGAACATATTGTTTATCCTTGCATGCAAATGTTTCATCTGAGCTACAACAAATCTTAGCATACTCAAATCGACAGAGCATTTTGTTGCAGCACATTATGACATCAACACTAACTGGGTCGACTTTAACATCTCATTATACACAACGTCATGTTAG